TATGGTAGAGTTGCCAGACGGAAGCCACTCCTCAGTAAAAGGCACAGGACAGCCCGCTTGGAGTTTGCCAAAAGGCACTTAAAGGATTCAGACCATGAGAAGAAAGATTCTCTGGTCTGATCAAACTAAGATTGAACTCTTTGGCCTGAATGCCAAGCTTCACGTCTGGATGAAAGCTGGCACCAACACTATGGTGAAGCATGGTGGTGGCAGCATCATGCTGTGGGGATGTTGTTCAGCGGCAGGGACTGGGAGACTAGTCAGGATCGAGGGAAAGATGAACCGAGCAAAGTACAGAGAGATCCTTGATGAAAACCTGCTCCAGAGCGCTCAGGACCTCAGACCGGGGTGAAGGTTTACCTTCGAACAGGACAACAACCCCAAGCACACAGCCAAGACAACACAGGAGTGGCTTCGGGACAAGAGCGTCTGCTAAATGAATTAAATGTAAATGTAATTTTATTTTATTTTTTATTTATCTAACCTTTATGTAACCAGGTAAGCCAGTTGAGAACAAGTTCTCATTTACAACTGCGACCTGGCCAAGATAAAGCAAAGCAGTGCGATAAAAACAACAACACAGAGTTACATATGGGGTAAACAAAACATAAAGTCAAAAATACAACAGAAAATAGAAAATATATATACAGTGTGTGCAAATGTAGCAAGTTATGGAGGTAAGGCAATAAATAGGCCATAGTGCTAAATAATTAACACTGGAATGATCGATGTGCAAGAGATGATGTGCAAATAGAGATGTGCAAATGAGCAAAATAAATAACAATATGGGGATGAGGTAGTTGGGTGGACTAATTTCAGATGGGCTGTGTACAGGTGCAGTGATCGGTAAGGTGCTCTGACAACTGATGCTTAAAGTTAGTGAGGGAGATAAGTGTCTCCAGCTTCAGAGATTTTTGCAGTTCGTTCCAGTCATTAGCAGCAGAGAACAGGAAGGAATGGCGGCCAAAGGAGGTGTTGGCTTTGGGGATGACCAGTGAGATATACCTGCTGGAGCGCATACTACGGGGTGGGTGTTGCTATGGTGACCAATGAGCTAAGATAAGGCAGGGATTTGCCTAGCAGTGATTTATAGATGGCCTGGAACCAGTGGGTTTGGCGACGAATATGTAGTGAGGACCAGCCAACAAGAGCGTACAGCTCACAGTGGTGGGTAGTATATGGGACTTTGGTGACAAAACGGATGGCACTGTGATAGACTACATCCAATTTGCTGAGTAGAGTGTTGGAGGCTATTTTGTAAATGACATCGCCGAAGTCAAGGATCGTTAGGATAGTCAGTTTTACGAGGGCATGTTTGGCAGCATGAGTGAAGGAGGCTTTGTTGCGAAATAGGAAGCAGATTCTGGATTTAACTTTGGATTGGAGATGCTTAATGTGAGTCTGGAATGAGAGTTTACAGTGTAACCAGACACCTAGGTATTTGTAGTTGTCCACATACTCTAGGTCAGACCCGTCGAGAGTAGTGATTCTAGTCGGATGGGCGGGTGCCAGCAGAGTTCGATTGAAGAGCATGCATTTAGTTTTACTTGTGTTTAAGAGCAGTTGGAGGCTACGGAAAGAGTGTTGTATGGCTTTGAAGCTCGTTTGGAGGTTTGTTAACACAGTGTCCAATGAAGGGCCAGATGTATAGAAAATGGTGTTGTCTGCGTAGAGGTGGATCTGAGAATCATCAGCAGCAAGAGCGACATCATTGATATACACAGAGAAAAGAGTCGGCCCAAGAATTGAACCCTGTGGCACCCCCATAGACACTGCCATAGGTCCAGACAACAGGCCCTCAGATTTGACACATTGAACTCTATCTGAGAAGTAGTTGGTGAACCAGGCGAGGCAGTCATTTGAGAAACCAAGGCTATTTAGTCTGCCAATAAGAATGCGGTGGTTGACAGAGTCGAAAGCCTAAGCCAGGTTGATGAAGACGGCTGCACAGTACTGTCTATTATCGATTGTGGTTATAATATCGTTTAGGACCTTGAGCGTGGCTGAGGTGCACCCATGACCAGCTTGGAAACCGGATTGCATAGCGGAGAAGGTACGGTGTGATTCGAAATGGTCGGTGATCTGTTTGTTAACTTGGCTTTCAAAAACTTTCGAAAGGCAGGGCAGGATGGATATAGGTCTGTAACAGCTTGGATCTAGAGTGTCACCCCCTTTGAAGAGGGGGTTGACCGCGGCATCTTTCCAAATGATGGTCAAACCCACCTATGTGAAGCTAGACACAAGGATTAGCCTTCAAAATAAAAGTATCTAATTGAAAGTGCTCCAAATGAATCCAAATAGTGCCATAATGGAATAGATCATGCTAAACGAGGTTGGAATGTTATATAAATTCAACAAAAGACAATAATTTGTTAATTTGACAAAAATCTGTTTAAATCACACTGCGGATGTATTAAACTTTAGAATTGCATTGGAGGCATACTTATTTCACTGTACAGCCTTACCTATGGATTGTGGATCAATGAAATGCGGTATCAGTCTACTCAGTGACACCCACAGAACATTAGCTGTTATTGCAGGTCTCTGAAACCACTGTGAAATTAGCCAAAAGTATTGTACCAGTCAACCTACTATGTGTATTGAACACTATTCCAGAGGAAAAAGAATACAACGTGGATGTTTTGGAGTCTGATAACAGTGCAATATGAATGTCAATATGCACAATAGGCTGACTGGGGAGGTGATTTCCCACAGCCTAAGTCCTGCTACGATGCTAATATTTGCGTAAACCCTTCACAGTTGTGTTCTGTGGGTGTCACCGAGTTGACTGATCCCCCATTTCAATGCTCCACATTCCAACACTCCAACCTTATTTAACATTATCTAGTCTAAATATGGCATGATTCCACCAATAGTAACCATTTGCTTCACTTTCAAATAGGGACTTTTGTTTTGAAGGTGAACCGCAAATTCCACTATTGTGGCTAATCTTTATTGTGGCTACCTCACAACACATAAGCCGGTCAGGTCAAACCTCACTGTTCTGCCCTCACAATGTGTAAGCTACAAAGCTTGGCAAATAGTTTACACTCTCCCAATAAAGAATCAGGAGGCACTGGTATCTTTTAAGAATCTTTAGTAGAATATATTTTGTTTTGTAAAACTGTAACAGAAAGGACAAAATGTATTAGAAAAGTCACTATATATATATTCACACAAATGGATACAAATAAAGAACAGCATTTCTATCACGAGCTAGCAACAAGAAAACAAGACTAGCTAGCCAACATGACTGTGAAGAAATTACTATTTACATCACATGAAAGGTGCCACAAAACACATACACACAATCTAAGTGTCCATATAGCTTAATAACTATGCTTTAGCTCTGTCACAAGAGATATCTGAACACTTAATTTGCTAACTTTCGGTTCAGAGCTATTTCCTGTCAGAACAATCCAAGCAACGACAGACAGACAAGCTCTATTTTTCCATCTTCTAGGCCTTGGTTAAAGATTTTTTGCTAATTCAAATTGTGTTTCTATAATATCTATATGTTTTTTTACATGTTTATTATAGTTTTCTAAGTTCCGATGATGCTAAGCTAATTGCACTAACTATCGCCCATTCACTTAACATTGTGCGTTAGCATGCAAGCTAACGGTTCGTGACAGAATTTAGCTTCTTTGGATTTGGGACGTATCTAGCTGTTTTAAGTGCTCAGATATGGAAAAATAGAGCTTGTCTGTCTGTTGTTGCTTGGATTGTTCTGACAGGAAATAGCTCTGAACCGAAAGTTAGCAAATACAAAGGTACAGTACCCAATTTCGCCACTAGATGGCAACATAGGACAATATAATACTTTGCACAGAAGTACAGCTACTAGAACACTCACTAGCTAGCTGGCTGCTTATAACGTTAGCTTTGGGCAACAGGGTTAAGTAGCTGGCTAGCTAGGTATTTTCATGAACTAAAGTTCGATTTCCATAGGAGAACAACAAGTGGCTACCTAGCTAATATTTACTCACATGGATTCCTAAATAATTGCTGAGAATATTGAAAATGACTGCAGTTTCTACTGGTCATTGTTTTCAGGCTGCTTGCATTGGCGGATCCCACGCTAAAGCTAGCTAGTTACCCCGGAAGTTTCTAATAACATCTGTATCAAAGATATTTGCAAAACTTTTTGATCCTGCTCTTACTTAAAATGCTCACACCAACGTTGTCCCATTTGGTCGAACAAATAAATGCCCTATTACCAACGCGGTATTGTAAACACATCGATGCCGGTGTGTGTGCTTGTTTGCAGACTTTTTTGTACAGCTTTGACAGTGCTACTGATCGTAGTGGTGGCGCTTGGCTTGCACGTGCAAATTCAGCACACACAACATTCTATAATATAATTGATTTTTTTGACGTGTCAAATTAAAAGCTTATTTGACGCGTCAACTAGTGTTATTTTATGTCTATTTTTTTTATATGCAAAGACCCAAATGGGGTTCCATGGTGGGCAGCAACTTCCTTATATTTGATTGATGGAACAATCCAGCCAATGGCTGCAGCAATAGGCGGCTGTGATTTTGTCAGAGGGAACTTGTTGGTCAGGAGTAAAAGGTCCTGCCCCCAGAGCCATCGTGTCTTTTCTCTTACAGACAAATTACAAGCAAAAACATGTGTTACAGCTGCGCAACCACGGATTTACAACTACAAACCATTTTGCCACAAATTAGATGTTACATTTGTTTCAAAACTCCGAGCTCGCAGATTCGGCATAGGCAAATATTTTTTATTCGTATTGAACGTATTCAAATGTCAATTAAAAATTTTGCGACATTACATTTTTCACACATGATACAAGCTTGCGAAATTAACTAACATTTGTGAATCGTATTTGCAACTACGAATCTCAATGTGAGACCACGAAATTCATCATACAAATTTGCATACTTTAGAATCCAATGTAATCCCAAACCTTTCCTTCAGCACCATTTCGTTTGTGCGCGCCGTGCGTTCACCGCCTGCGAAGCAATGCCAGCGCGTCCCCGCCGTCCGGAGGCAAATGCGGTAGTGATACTTCAGTGGTACTGACGTACTGAAATAAAGGAGGAGAAAATAAGATTGACCCTGCTGAGTGATCGGACATCTCCTAAGCAAAAACAAAACATTTGATCCCCTATTTTTTATCACAGAATATGGACTATGAGACAGATCATACATAGAAGGGTGAGTTGATCTTATTTTGCCATAAAACGAAGCGGTAATGATTACGATGTGGCTGCAGGTTTTTTGCGCCTCCCGTCTCTGTCTCAAAATGGCGAAGAGGCCGTTACAACAACAAGGTTGGGAAATTGATTCTTATAACTAAATAATGACATTATCTTGCCCTGATACATGTATCTTATGTTGCCTCACAGCATTTTTTGTCCATGGCATTTGCAAATTTGGTAACTTGGCTAGTTAGCTCTCACATCGAGTGTGTTTACATGGAACGTTAGTTAGCTGGATTTTAAACATTGCTAGCTAGCGTTAGTATAGCAATTAACCACGGTTCAGTTGGTTCAAATTAAAAGTCGGAAGGTGGAATTATTTATTAAAATCACAGAACTATAACGTTAACTAGCTAAATTCTGTTGAGACGACAATGTCATGTTTGGCGAGAGGACTTTGGCAAGAAAATGCTAACGAACCGCTTCAATTTCGGTCTGAGCTAACCAGCTGCATTACGTTAGCCAACCCGTTAGGTAGGTAGCTAGCTGGTAAGCTGGAAGGGCGTGTTAATTGGTAATTGCTGCAACCTTGTCCCAGGTTGCTAACTAGATAGCTAACGTTACCCGTATAGCTAGCTATTCAAGTTCAAATTCCTTCAATGCTAATAAGCTGCATATTTTAGTTTCACCTTTGCAGTAATGCAAATGTTTAATCTTGCTAAGGAGTTGTCTACTTGTGTAACGTTAACCAGTAACGTTAGCTACCTAGCTAGCCTTTTGGAAAGTCAGCAGACTGCTAATGTCAAGTAAGGTTAGCTAACTATCTAACTGCGGTAGCTAGCAAACTCATTTGCTGTTTACGTTAACTAACTAAATTAGTAACATCAAATACTTTCTGGGTTTGATTCCTTGAGCATATCTTCAAGTCGATCGAGGCTTAAATGGTCTGACTGTCCTAAATAAAACACTCCTTTCATGTGGAGTTCTCCCATTGAGGCCTTGCTTTGGCTGTCGTTCATCATAAATAACGTTACACAGAACGTGGTCCTCTGGTAGGCTGGTGGGGGGGATACCTAGGAAGACAGAGGTCCAACTCCGCAGAAAATCTGTCTTCCTCCAGCAGGTGGGATTTTTGTCGGTGTTTCGCCCACCAAGGAAGGAGTTTTTGTATGGCGCTCAATGAGTGTCGAATTTGGGCCCCCAAAAAATTAATGGCTTATTTTGTCGTAACGCATAAGTTGTTAGGAGTGTACTAATATAAGTAGGACACGTGACATAGGGTCAACTTTGAGACAAAATACTTTATATTGATGGGATGAGGCTATTAGGATCCCCATTAGCCGACGTCAATTGCGACAGCTAGTCTTACTGAGGTTCCGAAAAAGAGATTACAGACAAGACTACCATTTACATACATACATTTAAAAACATTAACATGTAGTGTGTATGCATCTATCAGTTACACATACATGTCAGTACATAATTATAATAATAATAATAATATGCCATTTAGCAGACGCTTTTATCCAAAGAGACTTACAGTCATGTGTGCATACATTTTTACGTATGGGTGGTCCCGGGGATCGAACCCACTACCCTGGCTTTACAAGCACCATGCTCTACCAATTGAGCTACAGAGGACCACGATGCATACATACACACAACAAGTAGGTCACATGGGGGAGAGGCGTTGTGCCATAAGGTGTGTGTTTATTTGTTTTTTAAAACCCGGTTTGCTGTTCACTTGCGCTATATAAGATGGAAGGGAGTTCCATGCACTCATGGCTCTGTATAATACTGTACGTTTCCTTGAGTTTGTTCTGGACCTGGGGACTGTGAAAAGACTGGTGGGGTGTGTGTGTGTGTGTGTGTAAATTGACTATGCAAACAATTAGGAATTTCCAACACATTAATGTTTCTTATAAAAACAAGAAGTGATGCAGCAAAGAGAAACTGGCATGCATAGTATTGATATTAGCCCTCTGATTACAATGAAGAGCAAGACGTGCAGCTCTGTTCTGGGCCAGCTGCAGCTGAACTAGGTCTTTCTTTGCAGCACTTGACCATATGACTAGACAATAATCAAGATAAGATACAACTAGAGCCTGCAGGACTTGCTTTGTGGAGTATGGTGTCAAAAAAGCAGAGCATCTCTTTATTACGGACAGACCTCTCCCAATCTTTACAGCCATTGAATCTATATGTTTTGACCATGACAGTTTACAATCTAAGTTAACACCAAGTCATTTAGTCTCCTCAACTTGTTCAACAGCCACACCATTCATTACCAGATTCAGCTGAGGTCTAGAACTTAAGGAATTATTTCTACCAAATACAGTGTTCTTAGTTTTAGAGATGTTCAGGACCAGTTTATTTGTGGCCACCCATTCCAAAACAGACTGCAGCTCTTTGTTAAGGGTTTCAGTGACTTCATTAGCTGTGGTTGCTGATGCGTATATGGTTGAATCATCAGCATACATGGACACACATGCTTTGTTTAATGCCAGTGGCAGGTAATTGGTAAAAATAGAAAATAGTATAGAGGTCCTAGAGAGCTGCCCTTCAGTACACCACACTTGACATGTTTGACATTAGAGAAGCTTCCATTAAATAACTTTCTGAGTTCTATTAGATAGTTCTGGATCTGGGAAATTCCATAGTAAGGTCAACCTGAGCATAAAAAAATATTAAACTACTTTCATATTTACATTGAATGTGTGTGTTTTGAAGTACAGACAACAGTTGGCCTTTATATTTTCCAAATGTAGTGTTATTATTACTACAAGGTAGGATACAAAGTTTCAAAATAAGGCTTTTCAGAGAACCAGATTCCATAGCTTTTGGCAATGGCTCACAGAACTTGTTTTGGTACTCACATCTATCCCCCTGTGTTTCTGACCAAGTCGGAAGGTTAATGAAACAATATCAAACTCAATTTAGTCCATTGAGTGCTAGTATATAATTTTATAATCTAGTAAAGATAGAATGCTGATTTGGACAGGCAGTGGCACATCCGTAACGTTTTTGAAGAAAGGTTATTGTAGATGCGTTTAGAGTATGATTGTATTCAAACTTTCTATGCAAAGCTAACTTTTATCAAGGGCTTAGGTGATGTGTGATTGGTTTATTTTCTCTCTTTGTCACTACACGTTCTAAGCATAACGGATGTGACTGTTACGGAAGCTTCATAAAATGATAATGGACTCACTAGTCAGCATCACTGCATAACGCGATCATGATAAAATGTTCATGCACTTACTGCTTCCGAAGTGTATTTATGTTAGCAAGCTAGCTGGCTATCTTAATCTATCGATCTGTGTAAGTGATCCATTTTGGGTGTACTCACGTTCTCATATGAACTGCAATGATGCGTTGTTCTGCTAACCGGAGCATTGCATGTGATCACATGGCATAATAAAGGTCTTAAATTCATAACATAATTAAGGTCTTAAAAATCCATAAGAAACTTTCACCAGTCATGCTGAGTTTGTTTACTTCCTGAGTAAGTACGGGTACAACCAGTGACAATATTGGTCTGTGACTGTGTGGTCTGCCCTGTGGCGTGAGAGGCACTCGCACACTTGAGAACTGCAGCTGTCAAGCCTGAGGTGATTTACGATCTGACAAGAAATGGACTAAAGTGCAAACCCTGTGCCATTGGTAGGTTATAAAATGTCTTTTTTTACCCTTTCACATAATGAAAATGAAGAATGGTTTTAACCCTTCATAGGAAATACATCAACATAATGACATATGGCGGCAGGTAGCTTAGTGGGTAAGAGCGTTGTGCCAGTAACCGAAAGGTCGCTGGTTCTAATCCCCGAGCCGATTAGGTGAAAAATCTGTCGGTGCCCTTGAGCAAGGCACTTAACCCTAATTGCTCCTGTAAGTCGCTCTGGATAAGAGCGTCTGCTAAATGACTAATTATTATTATTATTATTATATAGTAGAGAAGAGTGAGGAATTACATTTACATTTTCGTCATTTAGCAGACGCTCTTATCCAGAGCGACTTACAAATTGGAAAATGAGTGCAGCTAGCTCAAATAAACGTATCAATCGTCAAGGGTTAGGAGTATATCAGTGGAGACTGAGGGGAGGACGGCTCATTATAATGGCTGGAACGGAGTAAATGGAATGGTTTCAAACACATGGAAAATCATGTGTTCGATGTATTTGATACCATTCCGCTCCTGTGGAGTGTATTTGGAAAGTATTCAGACCCCTTCCCTTTTTCCACATTTTGTTACGTTACAGCCATATTCTAAAATGGATTTATATATATATATATATATATATATATATATATATATATATATCCACATCAATCTACACACAATACCCCATAATGACAAAGTTAAAACATTTTACATAATTATTCACACCCTTTATGAGACTCGAAATTGAGCTCAGTTGCATCCTGTTTCCATTGATCATCCTTGACATGTTTGTACAACTTGATTGGAGTCCTCCTGTGGTAAATTCAATTGATTGGGCATGATTTGGAAAGGCACACACCTGTCTATATGGTCCCACAGTTGACGGTGCATGTCAGAGCAAAAACCAAGCCATGAGGTCGAAGGAATTGTCCGTAGAGCTCCGAGACAGGATTGTGTTGAGGAACAGATCTGGGGAAGGGTACCAAAACATTTCTGCAACATTGAAGGTCCCCAAGAACACTGTGGCCTCCATCATTCTAAAATGGAATACGTTTGGAACCACCGACTCTTCCTAGAACTGTCCGCCCTGCCAAACTGAGCAATCGGGGGAGAAGGGCCTTGGTCAGGAAGGTGACCAAGAACCTAATGTTCATTCTGACAGAGCTTCAGAGTTCCTCTGTGGAGATTGGAGAACCTTCCAGAAGGACAACCATCTCTGCAGCACTCCACCAATCAGGCCTTTATGGTAGAGTGGCCAGACGGAAGCCACTCCTAAGTAAAAGGCACATGACAGCCCGCTTGGAGTTTGCCTAAAGGCACCTAAAGGACTCTCAGACCATGAGAAACAAGATTCTCTGGTCTGATGAAACCAAGATTGAACTCTTTGGCCTGAATAGCAAGTGTCACGTCTGGAGGAAACCTGGCACCATCCCTACGGTGAAGCATGGTGCAGTAGCAGGGACTGGGAGACTAGTCAGGATTGAGGGGGAGAGGAACAGAGCAATGTACAGAGAGATCCTTGATGAAAACCTGTTCCAAAGCGCTCAGGACCTCAGACTGGGGTGAAGGTTCACCTTCGAACAGGACAACAACCCCAAGCACACAGCCAAGACAACACAGGAGTGGCTTCGGGACAAGTCTTTGAATGTCCTTGAGTGGCCCAGCCAGAGCTCCTCACTACTGATGGGGGAGAAAATAGTTACATATCACAATATTCTTATTTTTGAATGCTATTATATCTATATTTGACTCCAAAAAAAATGTGTTTGCTAGGTAGTGTTAGCGAGCACTAGTTGGCTGTACCTGCGCCAAAATTCTGGTATCTTTCATCCTATAGCTTGTTCTCCATCTTTTTAAATAGTGAGCCAGCATTTCAACACTTTTAGTTCCATGACTGATCAAAACGCATGCTCTCTCTTGTCTGTCTGCAGCAGACATATAGTGAGCAATATCAGAATCACCGTTATTCACCAAATACATTTATTTACACATACCCAGAATTTGCCTTCGTGAGAAGGTCCTGCCAGCAATAAACAAACAGAATACAGACACAAGTTCACAGACATACAGAATATACAATATCGGAACAGTAAACATAAAACAAAACTCTGGAGCATCAAATGGTTTGGAACATCAAATCGCAATAAAATTGCAGTATGAAATCGCAATACATATAGAGTCATGAGAATCGCAATACGTATCGTATCGGCACCTACTGTAAGTATCGTGATAATGTCGTATCGTGAGGTCTCTGGCAATTCCCAGCCCTACTCCTCAGTCCTGCACTGTCAGCTGTCTGGACGACTACTGCTCTCTGGCGCACACACATACGTACGGATCCACACACACACACAGATCCCACGCATGCAAACAGTTTTACAAAAAGGATGGCCCCCCTCATAAACGCTTGTAAGCATGTGTGCACGCACACACAGACACACACACAGACACACACACTCAGACAGACTCTTGGTGGTCTAGCCACTAAGCAGCTTATAGCCACTGTCACCCTAGGTGCCAGCAGTCTTATGGCTCAGGATGGACATGCTTTGCTGCAGAACCACAAATGGCTGTGTTGGATTTGTTTCTGTTTATTAGTAGATTAGGCTACCCTATCAATATATGCCATGCTATTAGCCTAAACCTGTTCCACACCTGTCAGTCAGAGGCCAGAATGAGAGGAGCAGATATCATTGTTTGTGTACCGTGTTGATTTCTAGTCTAATCATTTTTCTGTCAATAACTGTATACTAATTGAATCTTTCCTCCTCGCTCTCCCTCCACCTCTTTGTTGTTTTGCTCTCTCCCCTCATTCTCTCTCCCTCTGTCTCTCTCGCCCTTGTATCCGGCCCTCTGTGTGGAGCACCGGTTGTAGTCTGAGGACTGAGCAACTGACCGAGGGACCTGAGGATCCCCCTACACCATCACCCCCAGTCTCACTCGTCTCCCCCAGAGGGCGAGAGCAGCCACTACAGCCATCATGGTGCTGTCACAGAGACAACGAGATGAACTGTGAGTACACACACACACGACACTTGTAGTTTAGGCCTGCGTTTGTTTTCATAAAAAGAGATTGACAGGAAATCTCTATGGGCTCAGTGAGGCCCTACTCTACTGTTTACAATGCAGGGGGAATGTTCGGTGTGTGTAATCTGTTCGTGCAGTCATGGAAATCCAGGAAAAGTCATGGAAAATGACTTGTTTTCCAGGTTTGGAAAAGTTTTAGACAATTATAAAAAGTATTTGAAAAGGCATGAAAATTAATTTAATAATTTCTGTTAATGAACAAAAATATAAACGCAACATGCAACAATTTCAACAATTTTACTGAGTTACAGTGCATATACGGAAATCAATCAATTTAAATAAATTCACTAGGACCTAATCTATGGATTTCACATGATTGGGCAGGAGCGCAGCCATAGGTGGGCTTGGAGCCAGGCCCAGCCACTGGGGAGCCAGGCCCAGCCACTGGGGAGCCAGGCCCAGCCATTGGGGAGCCAGGCACAGCCACTGGGGAGCCAGGCACAGCCACTGGGGAGCCAGGCACAGCCAATCAGAATATGATTTTCCCCACAAAAGGGCTTTGTTACAGACAGAAATAGTCCTCAGTTTCATCAGCTGTCTGGGTGGCTGGTCTTAGACAATCCCGCAGGTGAAGAAGCCGGATATGGAGGTCCTGGGCTGGCATGGTTACACGTGGTCTGCGGTTGTGAGGCCGGTTGGACGTACTGCCAAATTTTGTAAAACGACATTGGAGGCGGCTTATGGTAGAGAAATGAACATTCAATTCTCTGGCAACAGCACTGGTGGACATTCCTGCAGTCACATGCTAATTGCACGCTCCCTCAACTTCTGTGCCATTGTGTTGTGTGACAAAACTGCACATTTTAGTGGCCTTTTATTGTCCCCAGCACAAGGTGCACCTGTGTAATGATCATTACATTTACATTGACACCATTTAGCATACGCTCTTATCCAGAGCGACTTACAAATTGGTGGGATAACCACTTTTTAAAAATTATTTTTTTATGGGGGGTGGGGGAAGAAGGATTACTTTTATACTATTCCAGGTATTCCTTAAAGAGGTAGGGTTTCAAGTGTCTCCGGAAGGTGGTCAGTGGAAGGTGGTCAGTGACTCCGCTGTCCTCTCGTCGTGAGGGAGCTTGTTCCACCATTGGGGTGCCAGAGCAGCGAATAGCTTTGACCCTCGTTTGGGTGTAGGGTCTGATCAGAGCCTGAAGGTAAGGAGGTGCCGTTCCCCTCACAGCTCCGTAGGCAAGCACCATGGTCTTGTAGTAGATGCGAGCCTCAACTGGAAGCCAGTGGAGTGTGCGGAGGAGCGGGGTGACATGAGAGAACTTGGGAAGGTTGAACACCAGACGGGCTGTAGCGTTCTGGATAAGTTGAAGGGGTTTAATGGCACAGGCAGGGAGCCCAGCCAACAGCGGTAATCCAGACGGGAGATGACAAGTGCCTGGATTAGGACCTGTGCTGCTTTCTGTGTAAGGTAGGATCGTACTCTGCGAATGTTGTAGAGCATGAACCTGCGGGATCGGGTCACCGCTTTGATGTTAGCGGAGAACGACAGGGTATTGTCCAGGGTCACGCCCAAGGTTCTTTGCACTCTGGGAGGAGGACACAATGGAGTTGTCAACCGTGATGGCGAGATCATGGAGCGGGCAGTCCTTCCCCGGGAGGAAGAGCAGCTCCGTCTTGCCGAGGTTCAGCTTGAGGTGGTGATCCGACATCCACACTGATATGTCTGCCAGACATGCAGAGATGCGATTCGCCACCTGGTTATCGGAAGGGGGGAAAGGAGAAAATGAATTGTGTGTCGTCTGCATAGCAATGATAGGAGAGACCATGTGAGGATATGACAGAGCCAAGTGACTTGGTGTATAGACAGAATAGGAGAGGGCCTAGAACTGAGCCCTGGGGGACACCAGTGGTGAGAGCACGTGGTGCGGAGACAGATTCTCGCAATCTAAGAGTGAGCAGCGCCGGAGATGCCCAACTCGGAGAGGGTGGAGAGGAGGATCTGATGGTTCACAGTATCAAAGGCAGCGGATAGGTCTAGAAGGATAAGAACAGAGGAGAGAGAGTTAGCTTTAGCAGTGCGGACAGCCTCCGTGACACAGGAGCAGTCTCAGTTGAATGACCAGTCTTGAAACCTGACTGGTTTGGATCAAGAAGGTCATTCTGAGAGGGATAGCAGGAGAGTTGGCAAGAGACAGCACGCTCAAGAGTTTTGGAGAGAAAATAAAGAAGGGATACTGGTCTGTAGTTGTTGACATCGGAGGGATCGAGTGTTGGTTTTTTGAGGAGGGGTGCAACTCTCGCTCTCTTGAAGACCATGGCCAGCGGTCAAGGAAGAGTTGATGAGCGAGGTGAGGTAAGGGAGAAGGTCTCCGGAAATGGTCTGGAGAAGAGAGGAGGGGATAGGGTCAAGCGGGCAGGTTGTTGGGCGGGCGGCCGGCCGTCACAAGTTGCAAGATTTAATCTGGAGAGAGAGGGGAGAAAGAAGTCAAAGCATAGGGTAGGGCAGTGTGAGCAGGACCAGCAGTGTCATTTGACTTAATAAATGAGGGTTGGATGTCGTCAACCTTCTTTTCAAAATGGTTGACGAAGTTGTCCACAGAGAGGGATGAGGCAGGGGGAGGAGGAGGGGGATTCAGCAGGGAGGAGAAGGTGGCTAAGAGCTTCCTAGGGTTAGAGGCAGAGGCTTGACATTTAGAGTTGTAGAAAGTGGCTTTAGCAGCGGAAACAGGAAGAGAATGTAGAGAGGAGGGAGTGAAAAAATGACAGGTCCGCAGGGAGTCTAGTTTTCCTCCATTTCCGCTCGGCTGCCCGGAGCCCTCTTCTGTGAGCTCGCAATGAGTCGTCAAGCCACGGAGCAGGAGGGGAGGACCGAAAAGAGGAATGGAGTGGAAAGAAGGAGGCAGAGAGAAATTAGTCGAAGGCAGACGTAGGGAGGTTAAAGTCACCCAGAACTGTGAGGGGTGAGCCATCCTCAGGAAATAAACGTATCAAGGCGTCCAGCTCATTGATGAACTCTCCAAGGGAACCTGGAGGGCAATAAATGACAAGGATGTTAAGCTTGAATGGGCTAGTGACTGTGACAGCATGGAATTAAAATGAGATAGACAGATGGGTCAGGGGGAAAAGAGAGAATGTCCATTTGGGAGAGATGAGGATTCCTGTGCCACCGCCGCGCTGACCAGATGCTCTCGGGGTATGCGAAAACACATGGTCAGACGAGGAAAGAGCAGTAAGAGTAGCAGTGTTTTCTGTGGTAGTCCATGTTTCCGTCAGCGCCAGGAAGTCGAGGGACTGGAGGGTAGCATTGGCTGTGATGAACTCTGCCTTGTTGGCCGCAGAACGGCAGTTCCAGAGACTGCCAGAGACCTGGAACTCCACGTGGGTCGTGCACGCAGGGACCACCAGATTAGAGTGGCAGCAGCCACGCGGTGAAGCGTTTGTATGGCCTGTGCAGAGAGGAGAGAACAGGGATAGACAGACACATAGTTGACAGGCTACAGAAAAAGGCTACAATAATGCAAAGGAGATCGGAATGAAATGAACTAAACATCTGGGAAAGCGAGAGAGCCGGGCCTCCCTCACTTACGTTTCACTGAAACACTCAAATATAACTCTCCCAACTTCCACTTTAGAAATTATAATTGTTGTAAACTACAGCGTTTCAATATTTTCTAGGAATAGACTCTAACTTAGTTTATTCAGCTAGCTAATTGGTACAGTATTCTTCTGTGAAAACCGTCCAGGGCACCGAATCCTATGACGCCATAGCCAACTAGCATGCCAGCCTCCAATAACACGGTTTAGCACCAATACTTGGTTACAACAAACCAGTGTGTTAACACGCCAAACAGATCATTTGTGTCCGTGTCTAACGTTGTGTAAAGTTTTGGGTTAGTTTTGACAGTTTGAGTGAGTACGTCGTCAACTTATTCAGCCATTAGTTAGCTAGAATAGTTAGCATACTAGCTAGCCATTGCTCTCTGCCAACGAACCACCCCTCTTCCGAAGGCACGAAACACACAGAGCGAGCCAAGCTAACGTTAACTAGTCACCCATGTCCCGAATTCCCTTGAACGACTCTTGTTACCAGTATGTAAAAACAAAAAATAAATGTAGGTTATAACTTACCCTTAGTAGCTACTGTTAGCCAGTTAAGTGCAAAGCTAGCCACTTAATCGATTCAGCCAGTTCGCTTCTGTGCCAACGGAGAGAAAGCGTCTCCAAATATTGCAGCTAGGTCGTTCTAGCTATTGTTTAGTTAGCTATCCTGGTAGCAACAAGGTAGCTATATTTTCGAGTACAGTAGCTACTAATTACCTAACGTTAATGCTTCAGATAATGAGGTTAGAAAAACAGCTGAATGGTAGGTAGCTAGCTGGCATAATTACAGGTACTCTTAAGCGTGAAATAACATTGGAAACAACTATCCACAGTTGCTAATAGTTACCAGTAGCTACCCGCTAGGGTAATCAGCTTCTTGATATGCCACACCTGTCAGGTAGATGGATTATCTTGGCAAAGGAGAAATGCTCATTAACATGGATGTAAACACATTTGTGCACAACATTTAAGAGAAATAAGCTTTTTGTGCGTATGGAACATTTCTGGGATCTTTTATTTCAGCTCATGAAACAGGGGACCAACACTTTACATATATTTTTATTTATTTTTTATATGCCATTTAGCAGACGCTTTTATCCAAAGCGACTTACAGTCATGCGTGCATACATTTTTTTGTTTTGTTTGTGTATGGGTGGTCCCGGGGATCGAGGCCACTACCTTGGCGTTACAAGCGCCGTGCTCTACCAGCTGAGCTACAGAGGACCACATGTTGCATTTTATTAGATAATTCTTAAATGGAAGAAGTTTGGAACCACCAAGACTCTTCCTATAGCTGGACGCTTGGCCAAACTGAGCAATTGGGGTAGAAGGGCCTTGGTCAGGGAAGTGACCAAGAACTCGATGGTCACTCTGACAGAGCTCCAGAGTTCTTCTGTGGAGATGGGAGAACCTTCCAGAAGGACCACCATCTCTGCAGCACTCCACCAATCAGGCCTTCATGGTAGAGTGGCCAGACGGAAGCCACTCCTCAGTAAAAGGCACATGACAGCCCACTTGGAGTTTACCAAAAGGCACCTAAAGGACTCTCAGACCATGAGAAGGTCTGTAGCTCAGTTGGTAGAGCATGGCGCTTGCAACGCCAGGGTTGTGGGTTCGTTTCCCACGGTGGGCCAGTATGAAAATGTATGCACTCACTAACTATAAGTCGCTCTGGATAAGAGCGTCTGCTAAATGACTAAAATGAATCTCAAATGTAATGAGAAACAAGATTCTCTGGTCTGATGAAACCAAGATTTAACTTTTTGGCCTGAATGCCAAGAGTCACGTCTGGAGGTAACCTGCCACCATCCCTACGGTGAAACATGGTGGTGGCAGCATCATGCTGTGGGGATGTTATTCAACGGCAGGGACAGGGACACTAGTCAGGATCGAGGGAAAGATGAACGGAGCAAAGTACAGAGAACCTTGATGAAAACCTGCTCAGGACCTCAGACTGGGGCGAAGGTTCACCTTCCAACAGGACAACCACCCTAAGCACACAGCAAAGACAATGCAGGAGTAGCTTCGGGACAAGTCTCTGAATGTCCTTGAGTGGCCCAGCCAGAGCCCGTTCTTGAACCTGATCGAACATCTCTGGAGAGACCTGAAAATGGCTGTGCAGCGACACTCCCCATCCAACCTGACAGAGCTTAAGAGGATCTGCAGAGAAGAATGGGAGGAACTCCCCAAATACAGGTGTGCCAAGCTTGTAGCGTCATACCCAAGAAGACTCGAGGCTGTAATCGCTGCCAAAGGTGCTTCAACAAAGTACTGAGTAAAGGGTCTGAATACTTATGTAAATGTGATACTTCAGTGTTTTTGCTTTGTCATTATGGGGTATTGTGTGTAGATTGAGGGGGGGAAAACTATTGAATCAATTTTAGAATAAGGCTGTAACGTAACAATGTGGAAAAAGTGAAGTGGTCTGAATACTTTCCGAATGCACTGCATTTGACAAAGGTAAGTGTCATAAACTGCAGAATATGCTCATTCTGATACTATAAAGGCATCAAACCGTTTTACTTGCGTGTGACTCTGAAGGAGGATTTTATAAAGTGATCCTTTTCCTGCATCTTTCAATTACAAGATGCGCCCATCTCTTCATGTACAATTTGACACTGAAAATACTGTCACTCATCAGACTATTGTCAATTTAGTCTTGTCTATAGGCTCTCTTATTATGTGTGAAATTAGTTTTGGTATAGTTTAGGTGTAGTTTCGACGGGCTGACTGGCATCATTTTGTTTCCCCTTGCTCATCAACTTTGAGTCAATGATTTGTATTGCATTATTCTAAAGGCCTACTGCAACACGTAGCATGTTTTCGTTTCCCTTACAATAAATGTGATTAGCGTTATAGTAAATAGAACAGTCCCGTAACAGCTTATTTTTACAAAGTAAAAGAGAATGTATCAACCCACAAGGCGTGCGGTCAAATTAATAAGATGACTGCCAACGATGATGAATAGGCATAATACAAACTCATCGTTACACTATTGATGTTCTAAATTAAATCAACCTCTTCACCCTCCTTATCGTTCAGTTAGGCCTAATAAAAAATTTGATTGTGAAGTAACGTGCACAATTATCGCCCATTCATCCATTTGTCATCCTTTCAGTGGGCTGCCATCGTTTGCTTCCCTTCGTTCATCAACTCGGATAGAGTCAAGGAGATGTTTTGCATTATTCTAAAAGCCTACTGCAACACCTATCATGTTTTCATTTCCCTTTACAATACATGTTATTAGTAATAGCGTTCTAGTAGATAAAACAGTCCCGTAAAATGTCAAATAAAATTATATCAACCCACAAGGCACGCAGTCAATTTATTTGCTATAAACATGAGCGCCAAAGCTGATAAATATGCAAATCATTACACTATTGTCTTTCTAAATTAAATCAACCTCGTCATGCAGTTGGGCCTAATTTTTAATACAATTGTGAAGTAATGTGCACAATTATCATCCATTTGTCATTCATTCAGTGAGGAAAGCGACTCATTAGCGCCTGGCTGTGTACCAACGTCCTACAGCGCATTGTCTTGGCAGGTTAAGTTGGCAATAGGTATGAGAAGAAAAATGGTAAAAACGCTCAATGCTTTTTCTGTTTGTGATTTCAATATTCTGACAAATGAGCAATGTAAAATACAACCATTTAGGAAAAGTCTGGGAAGGAGCAGGACATTGCTTTTTTGGGGGGCTTTTTATATTTACAAAATCAGATGTCAGTGGCCTTTGGCAGTTCTAGAGACAATTGTTGTGTGCCATTCAGAGGGTGAATGGGCAAGACAAAATATTGAAGTGCCTTTGAACGGGGTATGGTAGTAGGTGCCAGGCGCATCGGGGGTTTGGTCGTGTGGCTCTGCAGTGTAGTAGAGTTCTGTAGCTCTGCAGACAGGAAACAGCCTGTGGAAACATACTGCTCTCTGATGGCACACTGGGCCAAAGGTTGACCTCATAGACACACCACATTCTCTCTCTGAAAGAAATAGTGTGCACAGCCGCATACATACTTGCATTCTCTCTCTCCGACACACTCACTCATACAGGTTACACTTGAGTGCTGATGATGTCACCGCCTAAACTTAGAGCTGCTGCTCATAAAACATTTAGCCCACATCAGAGAACAGAACCATGCTGCCACTCAGTGTGAGTGTGTGTACAACTGTGTGTGTGTGTGTGTGTGTGTGCGATCTGCTTCTTCTGAGTGTTCCAGCAGTCTGCATGTTTCCATGACAACCAGAAACACTGGGTGTGATTCATTCTTCAGCATTGTTTTCCTAGAGGAAACGTTTCACTGGACACACACACTTTGCTGATACAGTATTTAAGGAGGAATAGTAACTAACTGCAGCACACCTGTCTGTCTGGCAGAAGCTCTGCTGCAGTTAGTTACTATTCCTCCTTAAATACTGTATCAGCAAAAGTGTGTGTGTCCACATCTCTTTCTGTCTTAAGGTGGAACTGAGATTTATTTTAAGGTGGAGCTGCTGATATTGCTGTTGTCAGCAGAGGTCCCACAATTTAGCCACGACTCAGTCACAGAGCATGGAAAACACTGACTGAATGAAATATGCTCGGCTGAAACTGTAATGGTGCACTAAGTGAAAATGTAAGTTACAGATGTTGTTACATACCCGGCATGATTATGACGACTGAAAACCTTGGAATATAATGTGCGTGTTGACAGATGGGGTTTTGTTCTCTCTCTCTCCTCTCGCTCTCCTCTCTCTTTCCCAGAAACCGAGCGATCGGAGACTACCTCCGCTCAAATGGCTATGAAGAAGCCTATTCCACCTTCAAGAAAGAGTCTGAGTTAGATATGGCAAGAGCACGCACACACTAACTTACCCCAAAACTGCCACACTAACCTATTCTTTGATTTCCTTGCAATTATTTGAAACCTAGAGATCACTCTCTCTCATTTTTCAATTTCTGTCTCCCACTCCCTCTGTTCCCCAGAATGAGGAGTTAGATAAGAAGTACGCTGGTCTTTTGGAAAAGAAATGGACCTCAGTCATCAGATTACAGAAAAAGGTGAGTGTTGACGTCATGTTTGTAGTGTTATGGTGTTTGGTGTGTGTGTGTGTTTGATGATTTTAAATCCCAGATTGGAATTGCACATGTTTTTAAACCTGCTCTTTTAAGATCTTATGCACTTTGCACCATTGTAACAGTTGTTATGTTTTATTTTGTGTTGTCTCATGTGTTTACTATATGTAGGATGCTTTCTTGGCCAGGGCTCACTTGTAAAAGAGATGTAAATCTCAATGTGACCTCTGGTTAAATAAAGGATCAATAAAAAAATCTGTGTATATCTGGAGTATGAGTGAAATAACTCTGTTGGAAAACAATGAACAACCAACTGAACTATCACCTCTTCTACTCTTGCGTTGTTCTCATCTTTTCCACACCTTTATCTTCTCACTCCCCTACCTCCCCCCGCACCTTTCTCCCATCCCTCTCTCTCTCTCTCTCCCCCTCCCCCCCTCTCCCCTCTCCCCCAGGTGATGGAGCTGGAGTCGAAGCTGAACGAGGCCAAGGAGGAGATGACTCTAGGGGGTCCGGTGGCCCAGAAGAGGGACCCTAAGGAGTGGATCCCCCGTCCCCCAGAGAGATACGCCCTAAGCGGCCACCGCTCCCCCGTCACACGGGTCATCTTCCACCCTGTCTTCTCCGTCATGGTCACCGCTTCTGAGGACGCCACCATCAAGGTCTGTATGTGTGCGGAGTGTGCACGTGTCAATCATTTTCTAAGATCTTGGTTTAAAAGTACTGCAAATGTGTATGTGTACCAGGGAGATATAGGCATATATAAGATCCACGTTTATTTTATCTAGCACACATACAGTTGCGGCCAAATATATTGGCACCCTTGCACTTTTCTTAAATAATTCCCTATTTCTTCTCAAATAAGTTGAAATTGAAATAATAATTGGTCTCCACACCTTGTTGGATTTTCAACATTGCAGAACCAGTGAAAATGGTCAAACCAATAAACTTAAGTGTACAAATTTAGTTTAGAAAATAAAGACATGGACAAAACTGTTGGTAAACATAGGACGACTCGACTGCTGAAGGGCACACAAGAAAGCCTGATTTGATTGAACTTCTCAAAAACCCACCTAAACCAGCCTAAATCCGGGGGAAATTTTCTGTGACCCAATTAAACAAAATTGTAGCTCTTGGTTGTACAGATCAGCGCTGTTTACCGACGACTAAATTAATAATTCTATAAAAAGAACACCCTCCCTACAATCAAACATGGAGGTTTGATAATGCTGTGGGTTTGCTTTTGTCACATCTCATACTAGGGGCCTTGAACATGCACAAGGCATCATGAAATGAGGAGATTATCAGGTGTCTTGGAGTCCAATGTTCAACCCAGTGTCCATTTTGAAGGTTGTGGGTGTTCCAGCAGGACAACGACCCCAAACACACATCAAAATGCACCCAAGAATGGTTTAAGAAGAAACACTGGATTGTTCTGGAGTGGCCAGCAAAGAGTCCAGATCTGAATCACATCCAAAACCTATGGCGCGATCAGAAAACAGCAGTTGGTGAAGGGCACCCCTCAAACATTAAAGAATTAGTGCATTGTGCTGCTGAAGAGTGGGCCAAATTGCCAGTAGAAAGGTGCAGCAAGCTCATTGAAGGGTACAGGAAGTGTTTGCCTGCAGTTATCTAGGCCAAAGGCTGTGCAACCAGGTACTAGCTCTGGGGTGCCAATAACTTTGGCCATGCCATTGTGTTTATTTTCTCAATTAAAATTGTAAACTTATGTTTATAAAAATTAAATTGGTTCTGCAATATTGAAAATCCAATATTTTATTCAGTTTCAACTTATTTAAAGAGAAATAGAGAATTATCTACGAAAAGTGCAAGGGTGCCAATATATTTGGCCGCAGCTGAATGTCAGTGACTGGCGCATTAGTTCTCTGCTCCTGCTATAACTGCTGTTCCTCCCCTTCATCTTCTCGATATCCTCTCGCTCTTCTACTCTGGCTCTATTGCTCTCATTTTCTCTATCTCTGCCCTTCCACTCTCCCGCTCTATTGCTCTCCTTTTCACTCCCCCCTTCTCTCTTTCCTTGTCTTTTGTGCTTTGTCACTGCTTATCTACGTCGAGATGGGGTAATGCTCTGGGAACCGGCGCAATGCTGGCAGAGCATGGAGCACTGCACCCTGGGATACATGCGACTCTCATCCTGCTCTCTCTCTCTTAACTTCTTCCTTTCTCTCATCTCTCTTTCCTGCTTGCTCGCTCTCTTCTTTCTTTTTATTTCTCTCTTTTTCACACTCACTCATATGCATTGACCCAGAGAAAGTTTATTGCCCTGTCATGTTGGAAAATTTTTCAAAGTAATTAACCGAATAACTGTGTGTTTGTGTTTCGTGTGTGTGCGCATCTCTCTCTCTAGGTGTGGGACTATGAGGCAGGGGACTTTGAGCGGACACTGAAGGGCCATACAGACTCTGTCCAGGACATCTCCTTTGACCAGACGGGCAAGCTGCTGGCCTCCTGTTCTGCAGACATGACCATCAAGTTGTGGGACTTCCAGGGCTTTGAGTGCATCCGCACCATGCACGGTGAGGGCACTGGGGTGTCTGTGTCTGGTTGTGTGTTCCTCCAAGTTGCTTAACAGCAAACAAGCACTATTAACTAATGTGTACATACCTACACTGTTGTTACAGTGTACTTACGTAATTACTGCCATATAAATATAATTATTCTATATCTTTGGTTACTACAATGTAATTACGGTGATGTACTATGTATTGTAAAGTGGGCTTACTGATGTCCCTTTCCTGCTTTCTCCCCTATCTGTCTGTCTGTCTGTCTGTTTCAGGTCATGACCACAACGTGTCGTCTGTAGCGATCATGCCCAACGGAGACCACATAGTCTCCGCCTCCAGAGACAAGACCATCAAGATGTGGGAGGTGGCCACTGGGTGAGACACACACTTATCTCACTTATCAGGTGCTGAAATACTGTATCTCCTGTTATATTAGTCCAGTGAAGGGAGGTTCGAACATATACACAGACTGACACATTCTGGTGTCCAGTATTCCGGTTTTGCTGGAGAGGTGTGTGTGTGTGTGTGTGTGTCTAGCTACACTAAATGATCAAAAGTATGTGGACACCTGCTCGTCGAACATCTCATTCCAAAATCACGGGCATTAATATGGAGTTGGTCCTCCCTTTGCTGCTCTAACAGCCTCCACTCTTCTGGGAAGGCTTTTCACTAGATTTTGGAACATTGCTGCGGGGACTTGCTTCCATTCAGCCACAAGAGCATTAGTGAGGTCGGCCACTGATGTTGGGCGATTAGGCCTGGCTCGCAGTCGGCGTTCCAATTCATCCCAAAGGTGTTCGATGGGGTTGAGGTCAGGGCTCTGTGCAGGCCAGTCAAGTTCTTCCACACCAATCTCGACAAACCAATTCTGTATGGACCTCGCTTTATGCATGGGGGCATTGTTATACTGAAACAGGAAAGGGCTTTCGCCGAACTGTTGCCACAAAGTTGAAAGCAGAGAATCGTCTAGAATGTCATTGTATGCTGTAGCGTTAAGATTTCCCTTCAATGGAACTAAGGGACCTAGTCTGAACCATGAATAAAAGCCCCAGACCATTATTCCTCCTCCACCAAACTTTACAGTTGGCATTGTGCATTGGCATCCGCCATACCCAGATTCGTCCGTCGGACTGCCAGATGGTGAAGCGTGATTCATCCCTCCAGAGAACGCGTTTCCACTGCTCCAGAGTCCAATGGTGGCAAGCTTTTACACCACTCCAGCCGACACTTGGCATTGCGCATGGTGATTTTAGGCTTGTGTGCGGATGCTCGGCCATGGAAACCCATTTCATGAAGCTCCCGAAAAACCGTTTTTGTGCTGACTTTATTTTCAGCGGCAGTTTGGAACTCTGTAGTGAGAGTTTCAACCGAGGACAGACGTTTTTTACTCGCTTCAGCACTTGGCGGTCCCTTGATTTTACACACCTGTCAGCAACGGGTGTGGCTGAAATAGCCGAATCCACTAATTTGAAGGGGTGTCCACATACTTTTGTATATAGTGTATGTGTGTGTGTATATATAACTGGCGACGTGTTTCTTTTTCTAGGTATTGTGTGAAGACGTTTACAGGCCACAGGGAATGGGTGAGGATGGTCCGGCCCAACCAGGATGGTTCTCTGATTGCCAGCTGTTCCAACGACCAGACGGTGCGTGTGTGGGTGGCCAACTCCAAGGAGTGTAAGGCTGAGCTACGGGAGCACGAACACGTGGTGGAGTGTATCGCCTGGGCCCCCGATACCGCTCACCCCACTATCCTGGAGGCTACTGGCTCAGAGGTGAGGAGAACCTCTAAACTATGTGAAGTATTTTGAAGTGATGAAGCATGTTTTTCGGCAATACAACTGCTTTTTTCATGCTGATAAGCATCCCCCACCCCCACCCCCTCTCTGTAGAGTAAGAAGAGTGGGAAGCCCGGTCCATTCCTTATCTCTGGCTCTAGAGATAAGACCATCAAGATGTGGGACATCAGCACTGGCATGTGCCTTATGACTCTGGTTAGTGTGTGTGTGTGTGTATGTGCGTGCATGCACATTTTACTATACTTGTGAGTACCAGAAGTCCTCAAGAATAGTAAACCAACTAAAATTCTGAGAAGTGAGGACATTTTGCCAGTTCTCATTTGTAAAAAGGCTATTTTAGGGTTAGAATTAGGGTTAGGGGTTAAAGGTTAGGGAAAATAGGGTTTTTAATTGGGAATCAATTGTTGGTCCCCAAAAAGTCCTCAGAAGTATAGTAAGACATAGCTGTGTGTGTTTGTGTAATGTTTGTGTGTTACCTTCCCCTCAGGTAGCACTATTGGTCATGATAACTGGGTATGTGTGGATGTCCAAAGTGTTTTTTTCTCAGGTTGGTTGTGTGTGTTCTCTCCTCTCTCTAGGTAGGTCATGATAACTGGGTGCGTGGTGTGTTGGTGCACCCTGGAGGCAGGTTCATAGTGAGCTGTGCTGATGATAAGACTCTGAGGATCTGGGACTACAAGAACAAGCGCTGCATGAAGACCCTGTGTGCCCACGAACACTTTGTTACCTCTCTAGGTAAGAGTGTGTGTGCATTCCCTTTAAAGATTGTAGTACTAGTCAAAACCACCTTTTTCAGGGTATGTAATCTCCAACACTTCTGCCAGTTCCACAGTTCTACCGCTAACCAATCCATCAGGGTTCGTATGGTCATAATAATTCTGGTTTTCCAGGCTTAGAAACGTTTGGGAAAATGATAAAATCCTAAAAGTTTAGGAAATGTAATGGAAATTAATTTAGTAATTTATGTTAATGTAATTTATTTAGGCCCAGTTTTTAAATGTTTTATCAATCAAATCAAATTCAACATATCAGCCAGGATCGGAATGACACTTTACCGCGTCTGTGTTTGCACGCATCACCTGCATGTGTGCGAGACAAGTGGGCCGTTGCTCATGTGAATCAAAATACAAATTTGAATCGCGAATAATTATTTTTGGAAAAACGATTTAGATGTAGCCTTTCTTTTGGATTATGTGGCTTCAAAACTTGTTTTGTAGATACTTCCAGTTGATTTGGCCATCCAGTGTATGGGACATTGCAACTCAATAGATACTAGTCAGCCTGCAAAGGAAACACTTCTAAGGTATATATGACTAAACTTGAAAACGTAAATTTCCTGAAGAAAATGTGTGGGCTCGCTTCACCTGAATAAAAATATTTGTAGCATACCATAGCCATTTGATGAATTAGCAAATTATTTCAAAAGGCATAACACGTATTTGGTTGTAATGTTGCAGTGCCTTCGGAAAGTATTCACCCGCTTTACTTTTTCCAGATTTTGTTGTTATAGCCTGAATTCAAAATTTATTAAATTGAGATTTTGTGTCATTGATCTACACACAATACTCATAATGTCAAAGTGAAATTTTGTTTGTAGAACATTTTAGAAATTAATAAAAAATGAAAAGCTGAAATGTCTTGAGTCAATAAGCATTCAACCCCTTTGTTATGGCAACTCTAAAGTTCAGGAGTAAAATGTGCTTAACAAGTTTTAACAACTCATTCCGTGTTCAATAATAGTGGTTAACATTAATTTTTTTATGACTGCCCCATCTCTGTACCCCACATATACAATTATCTGTAAGTCCCTCAATGGAGTAGTGAAGTTCAAGCACAGATTCAACCACCAAGGTCAGGGAGCTTTTTCAATGCCTTGCAAAAAAGTGCACTGATTGGTAGATGTGTAAAAATACAATAAAGCAGACGCTGAATATCCCTTTGAGCATGGTGAAGTTATTCATTAATTTGACCATGAGGCCAATGGTGATTTTAAAACAGTTACAGAGTTTAATGGTTGTGATATGAGAACTGAGGATGGATCAACGACATTGTAGTTACTCCACAATACTAACCTAAATGACAGAGTGAAAAGGAAGCCTGTGTACAGAATAAAAATATTCCAAAACATATATCATGTATGCAACAAGGCACGTAACCCTTTGACGCATACGATCACATAGTTTTGATCATGTGGTTCCTGCAGCGTACCATCACAAGTATGTGATTGGAACAGTAACAACAGAACGTATGATGCAACAAACGCGTCTAAACAGCATTGTTGTCTGAAAAGCATCTAAAAAATGTTTTGTACTGATGGGAAATAAAGGTCTTCACAACTTTATTCCTCAATTTCACCTTTTATTGTAAAATATCAATGCTAACTTCATCATCCAAACATAAACCAGTCTAAATAACAGGTTGCGCTGACAAAAAACAAAACATAAATTAGCAACCTAACATCTAGACTTCTTTACAATGTACCACATCTCTGGTGAGTACAAGGGAGAAATGTAATATTGTTTAGAAAAGAGATACATGTCAGCTAAGCTAACAGCAGCTAAATTCTTTATGATGGCAGCCATGTTTGTTTAAGTTTGATAAGCAAAAACTCCCTAATCCCAGAATGCCATTCACTATAAGACGCAAATAAACAAAGTCAAAGATGGCTGCGCCCATTGCCTTAAAAATATGAACTTAGTTTGGCCACTTTTCAGCATATTACAAATCTTCGATGTACGTGTTAGTGTGTACAAGAACCGGAGCACATGACTTGACAAGTCGTTTACCGTTTTTGATAAATCACAAAGCAAATAAAATGTTATCACTTCGCAGATCATCACACCAAATACAAGCCTACTGGAATGGTTTTGAACGGTCATCCAACTTGGAATTCCGACTCTGGCCTCTTTCTAGAGCTCCGACCTGAAGATCACTGACGTCATGACTTGACCTCTTATTTTTCTGAATTCCCAGTTATCTTAAAAGCACCATAAAACAGTTGAGTGAACTATCCCTTGTTGTAACATCTTTGGTCTGACAGACGCTTATGTGACAACCAGAATGCATTGTATGACGTCAATAAACATGGCGCCACACATAGCTGGTAAATATCTTAGCATTAGCTCATCATAATCTGTACAACCTTCAAAAAAGTATTTTACACACGTGTCCATTACAATCTATGCAAGAATCGGAGTGCATGATTTGTCACCAGTACACGAAAATATGAATTAAACAGTTAATACATTATGCTCCATACATATGGTATGCTACAGTAGAAACGACAACACGATATACCGAAAATAAGGCACTTACTTTGGTAGGAACGCACATGTCCAATTTGTAAGGAAAACAACAATGAAGACAATGTGGGCACCAGCCATAAAATGTGGCGGGGGAATAAGTTTTTGCAAGGCCTGTTCTGACTAGAGATGTGCAGTGTCTTCATACTTGATCTGAGGAATTACTGGGGAAGTGCTTTGGCTCTTGTTGAAGATAGAAGTTTGTCCGGCTCAGTAAAGCCTCAAACATAAATTGTCCTCAGTGAAATGGGCTACTTCTTATGTGAATTAATGAGGAGGTGGAACAGAACTCAATTCAAACTGTTAGTAAATAATATGACATTGACAAGTTGAAACTGCCTATAGATAATTAGCAGGCAGCTTGCCTTGGTTTGAGGGCAGCGCGGGTTATAACTGTCCTGTTGCGTAACAATCACATTTTGGAACAGTGAGTGCATTCCGACATCGCGCGCATAAAAAAACTCATGCTGGGGTGATCGTTAGAGATATTTGGAACTCACGGTTGAAAAGGTTAAGTAATACTGCAAAAAATGTGGCAAAGAAATTAACTTTTTGTCCTGAATACAAAGCGTTATGTTTGGGGCAAACACAACGCATCACTGAGTACCACTTCATATTTTCAAGCATGGTGGTGGCTGCATCATGTTGTGGGTATGCTTGTCATTGACAAGGACTAGGGAGTTTTTAGGTTAAAAATAAACTGAATAAAGGTAAGCACAGGCAAAATCCTTGAGGAAAACTTGGTTCAGTCTGCTTTCCAACAGACACTGTGAGACTAATTCACCTTTCAGGAGGACAATAACCTAAAACACAAGGCCAAAAATACACTGGAGTTGTTTACCAAGATGACATTGAATGTTCCTGAGTGGCCTAGTTAATGTTTTGACTTAAATCGGCTTGAAAATCTATGGCAAGACTCAAAGATGGCTGTCTAGCAAAGATCAACAATCAACTTGACAGAGCTTGAACAATAAAAAAAAAAAAGAATAATGGGCAAATACAATCCAGGTGTGCAAAGCTCTTAGAGACTTACCCCAAAAGACACAGCTGTAATCGCCACCAAAGGTGCTTCTACAGAGTAGTTATTGGGTTGGACAGTAACCACATTTTCATATCGTCATACCGTCCTTCTCTCATCCCGGGATTTACAGTATTACTGGCTTAGTCCAGAAGGGGGCTGCTAGCTAAATATGCTAATGAGCGCAATGAAAATAAACTAATTGCAAACAGGCAATTCAGCTCAAAATTATGCATATATAGGTAGTAGTTACCGAATGTCATTTTTGGTGAGTTTGGACATTTTACAAGCGAATGTGAGCGAGAAACATAGTTCATTTGCACAAAGTTTTTAAGCATTCTCTGGAGCAGCATGTCTACATGCTGTGTCTGTGTGGAGTCACAAAAGCTCTGCTTGGAGAAGAGGGCAGAGGGGAGGTGCAGACTGAGGCAGAGAGGAGAACTAACGCACTGGAAATGAAGATAGCAGTGACAGCTCTACAGATAACTCATCCAAAGCGCTTGGACTTCTCAAACATGGCAGAAAGCTAACACTATATGATGCCATGTCTCCTTATTAATTCAGCCACTTACTTAGCTAACTGGCAAGTTAAACCAAATACACAGCTAGACTCGCCTGCTCCCGCTTTCTCCCAATGTGTTATTTACAAACAAACATGTGAATGGCTCAACTGTAAGCTTCATAATGTAAAACGTAAAATGAAAAACACGATCTGCTTTATCTCATAATGTATTGCACAAGTTGACTGCAGGTATTTACTTGAAGTAGCTACAAATATTAAAATGTAAAAAAACGTATAAGAAATAGTTTTGACGGTATTAGAAAAACCATCCCGTGGCTATTTCCAAATACCCCGGTATACGGTATACTGCCGAAGCCTAGTGTGAATACTTATGTAAATGAGAGTGCATTTGGAAAGTATTCAGACCCCTTCCCTTTTTTCACATTTTGTTACGTTACAGCCTTAATCTAAAACAGATTAAATTAATTTTATTCCTCATCAATCTACTCACAATACCCCATAATGACAAAGCAAAAACAGGTTTTTAGATGTTTTGCAAATTTAAAAAATATTTTATAAAAAAAGATACCTTATTTACATAAGTATTCAGAACCTTTGCTACGAGACCCGAAGTTGAGCTCAGGTGCATCCTATTGCCATTAATCATCCTTCAGATGTTTCTACAACTTGATTGGAGTCCAACTGTGGTAAATTGAATTGATTGGACATGATTTGGAAAGGCACACATCTGTCTATATAAAATCCCACAGTTGACAGTGCATGTCAGAGCAAAACCAAGCCATGAGGTCGAAGGAATTGTCCGTAGAGCTCCGAGACAGGATTGTGTCGAGGTACAGATCTGGAGAAGGGTAGGAAAACAAATCTGCAGCATTGAAGGTCACCAAGAACATGGTGGCCTCCATCATTCTTAAATGGAAGAAGTTTGGAACCACCAAGACTCTTCCTAGAGTTGGCCGCCCGGCAAAACTGAGCAATCGGGGGAGAAGGGCCTTGGTCAGGGAGGTGACCAAGAACCCGATGGTCACTCTGACAGAGCTCCAGAGATCATCTGTGGAGATGGGAGAACCTTCCAGAAGGACAACCATCTCTGCAGCACTCCACCAATCAGGCCTTTATGGTAGAGTAGCCAGACGCAAGCCACTCCTCAGTAAAAGACACATGTAAGCCCGCTTGGAGTTTGCATAAAAAGGCACCTAAAGGACTCTCAGACCGTGAGAAACAAGATTCTCTAGTCTGATGAAACCAAGATTGAACTCTTTGGCCTGAATGCCAAGCATCACGTCTGGAGGAAACCTTGCACCAAGGTGAAGCATGGTGGTGGCAGCATCATGCTGTGGGGATGTTTTTCAGTGGCAGGGACTGGGAGACTAGTCAGGATCGAGGGAAAGATGAACAGAGCAATGTACAGAGAGATCCATGATGAAAACCTGCTACAGAGTGCCCAGAACCTCAGACTGGGGGCAAAGGTTCAGCTTCCAACAGCACAACGACCCTAAGCACACAGCCAAGACAACGCAGAAGTGGCTTTGGGACAAGTCTCTGAATGTCCTTGAGTGGACCAGACAGAGCCCGGACTTGAACCCGATCTAACATCTCTGGAGAGACCTGAAAATAGCTGTGCAGCGACACTCTCCATCCAACCTGATAAAGCTTGAGAGGATCTGCAGAGAAGAAAGGGAGAAACTCCCCAAATACAGGTGTGCCAAGCTTGTAGTGTCATACCTAGGAAGACTCAACGCTGTAATCGCTGCCAAAGGTGCTTTAACAGAGTACTGAGTAAAGGGTCTGAATATTTATTTTATAAAAAAATATATGCATTTGCAAAAAATTCTAAAAACCTGTTTTTGCTTTGTCATTATGGGAGTATTTTGTGTAGATTGAGGGGGTGGAAAAAGTGAAGTCGTCTGAATACTTTGAATACTGAATGCACTGTATTTCATTTTCAATGAATGTGCAAAAATGTCTAAACATGTTTTCACTTTGTCATTATGTGTAGATGGGTGTGTAGATGTGTGAAATAATATACTAATATAATAGTGAATACATCAAAACTATGAAATAACACACATGGAATCATGTAGTAACAAAAAAGTGTTGATTATTCAAATAGCCACCCTTTGCCTTGCACACTTGTAGCATTCTCTCAACCAGCTACACCTGGAATGCTTTTCCATTAGTCTTGAAGGAGTTCCCACATATGCTGAGCACTTGTTGGCTGCTTTTCCTTCACTCTGCGGTCCGACTCATTACATTTACATTTTAGTCATTTAGCAGACGCTCTACAGTTAGTGAGCGCATACATTGTTTATTTTTTTATTTTTTTCATACTGGCCCCCCGTGGGAATCGAACCCACCACCCTGGCGTTGCAAATGCCATGCTCTACCAACTGAGCTACATCCCTGCCGGCCATTCCCTCCCCTACCCTGGACGACTTGTGCGCCGCCCCATGGGTCTCCCGGTCGCGGCCGGCTACGACAGAGCCTGGATTCGAACCAGGATCTCTAGTGGCACAGCTAGCACTGCGATGCAGTGCCTTAGACCAGTGCCTTAGACCACTGCGCCACTCGGGAGACTCATCCCAAACCATCTCAATTTGGTTGAGGTCGGGTTATTGTGGAGGCCAGGTCATCTGCTGCAGCACTCCATCACTCTCCTTCTTGGTCAAATAGCCCTTACACAGCCTGGAGGTGTGTTGGGTCATTGTCCTGTTGAAAAACAAATTATAGTCCAAATTATAGTCCCACTACGCCCAAACCAGATGGGATGGTGTATCGCTGCAGAATGCTGTGGTTGCCATGCTGGTTAAGTGTGCCTTGAATTCTAAATAAATCACAGACAGTGGCACCAGCAAAGCACCACCACACCATAACACCACCTCCATGCTTTACGGTTGGAAATACACATGCAGAAATCATCCGTTCACCCACACCGCGTCTCACAAAGACACGGCGGTTGGAACCAAAAATCTCCAATTTGGACTCCAGACCAAAGGACAAATTTCCACTGGTCTAATGTCCATTGCTCGTGTTTCTTGGTCCAAGCAAGTCTCGTCTTATTATTGTTGTCCTTTAGTAGTGGTTTCTTTGCAGCAATTTGACCATGAAGGCCTGATTCACACAGTCTGCTCTGAACAGTTGATGTTGAGATGTGTCGGTTATTTGAACGCTGAAGCATTTATTTGGGCTGCAATTTCTGAGGTTGGTAACTCTAATGAACTTGAAATGAAATGAAATGAAATGAAATCCTCTGCAGCAGATGTAATTCTGGGTCTTCCATTCCTGTGGCGGTCCTCATGAGCCAGTTTTATCATAGCACCTGATGGTTTTTGCGACTGCACTTGAAGTAACTTTCAAAGTTCTTGACATTTTCCGGATTGACTGACCTTCATGTCTTAAAGTAATGATGTATTGTCATTTCTCTTTGCTAATTTGAGCTGTTCTTGACATAACACAACTGATTGGCTCAAACGCATTAAGAAGGAAATAAATTCCACAAATTAACTTTTAAGAAGGCACACCTGTTAATTGAAATGCATTCCAGGTGACTACCTCATGAAGTTTGTTGAGAGAATGCCAAGAGTGTGCAAAACTGTCATCAAGGCAAAGGGTGGCTATTTGAAGAATCTCAAATATTAAAAATATTTTGATTTATTTAACACTTTTTTGGTTACTACATGACATAGTTTTGATGTCTTCACTATTATTCTACAATGTAGAAAATAGTGAAAATAAAGAAAAAACCTTGAATGAGAAGGTGTTCTAAAACTTTTGACCGGTAGTGTATATACTGAACAAAACAATATGCAACAATTTCAAATATTTTACTGAGTTAGAGTTCATATAAGGAAAACAGTCAATTGAAATACATTCATTAGGCCCTAATCAATGGATTTCACATGACTGGGCCAGGCCTGCGAGTGCATAGGCCCACCCACTTGGGATCCAGGCCTAGCCAATCAGAATGCGTTTTTTCCCCACAAAAGGGCTTTATTACAGACCTAAATGCTTTTTCGGAAATAATATTTAATCAGCTGTCTGGGTGGCTGGTCCCCGATGACCCCGCAGGTGAAGAAGCCGGATGTGAAAGTCCCGGGCTGGCGTGGTTACACGTGGTCTACAGTTGTGATGCCGGTTGGACGTACTACCAAATTCTCTAAAACAACGTTGGAGGCGGTTTATGGTAGCGAAATGAACATTCAATTCTCTGGCAACAGCTCTGGTGGACATTCCTGCAGTCAGCATGCCAATTGCACGCTCCCTCAAAATTGAGACATCTGTGGTGTTGTGTTGTGTGACAACTGCACATTTAAGAGTGGCTTTTTATTGTCCCCAGAATAAGGTGCACCTGTGTAATGATTGTTGTTTAATCAGCTTATTGATATGCCACACCTGTCAGGTGGATGGATTATCTTAACAATGGTGAAATGTTCACTAACATTGTAAACAAATTTGTGCACAAAATGTTAGAGAATTTTTTTTTCTGCATATGGAATATTTCTGGGATCTTTTATTTCTGCTCATGAAACACTTTACATGTACAGTGGGGGGGGGGGGGAGTATTTAGTCAGCCACCAATTGTGCAAGTTCTCCCACTTAAAAAGATGAGAGGCCTGTAATTTTCATCATAGGTACACGTCAACTATGACAGACAAATTGAGAAAATAAAATCCAGAAAATCACATTGTAGGATTTTTTATGAATTTATTTGCAAATTATGGTGGAAAATAAATAATTGGTGGCTGACTAAATACTTTTTTCCCCCACTGTATGTATTTTTGTTCAGTATATTTTATAAATGTTTAATTCATGCTGTAACACAAAAAATGTTGTGGAATAAGTCTAGGGTTATGAATACTTCCTGAAGGCACTGTATACATCAAGGGTGGTCAATTATCTTCCTGGAGAGCTAATAGGTGTGCAGGCTTTTATTCCAGTCTGTATTTGTATCTCTCTCTCTAGATATGCACCGGACTGCTCCCTACGTGGTGACAGGCAGCGTTGATCAGACAGTCAAAGTGTGGGAGTGTCGCTGAGTCTGCCTGCTACCTCCCTCTCCTCATCTTCCTCTCTACCCTCCAACCACAGCCCTGTAACCCCCACCCCAACCTCCTGCTCTACTCTCCCAAAAGCAGCCCTAGTGCTCCCCCAAATAGCAGCCTCTCCTACCCTAATCTTCTCTATCCCCCCAAAAGCAGCCCTATACCCCCTCCTACCCACTATCCTACCCTTTCTCTCTGACCCTCACCTAAGCCCAACCTCTTGCACTCTATACCATTGTTACCCAGGCTCTCCCCCTCTGCCCTTCATCCCCCGGCCCTGTTTAAAATAAATATTGTCCTTTTATGTAAATTATTCTGGATGTAGGGTACGCTTAATAAATGTTACACACTCACACATTCTCTCTCACACACACACTAAAAGAAAAAAGAAGTATTCCTTGAATGGTGAATTCCCCCAAAAATGTGTGTACTGTAAATGTGTCTAAATTTGCATACCATTGTCATGACGTGGGGGGCGAAGGGTATATGGTTCCTGTGTCCTTCCCCAGTGGATGCTGGGTAATTGTGACAGTGCACGTAAACCAATCACGTCTGTTCTTTAAGGGTTTGGTTTTATTTCGTTTTTTGCCACCACTGTTATTCTGATGCTACCTGAGAGAGATCGGGAAGAAGAAGAGTGTGAAAGAACAAAGAGAGAATTGTGACAGAGGATAATATGGGGAGGAGGAGTAGAATAAGAGATAACCGATAAAGTATGGTCTGTGTGTGTGCATTTGGGTGCGTACTGTATGTGTGTAAGGCGGTAGAGAATAGAGGGGTGACTTTCTATTTCTCTCTATATACTCCCTCTCTCTGACTGGCTTCTAGTAGATACTCACAAGGATCTTAAAGATCCCTATACTGCAAAGAACACACACACACACACACGAACAGACTTTCCCACTCTCTCTCTTTCACACACACTTAGATCAAGGAAGACGCATAGATGAGCAGACTCTTATATTTGTGTTACACACACCACACACACAAAACCTCTGCTGCGGTGTGTCCCTAGAGTGCCCAGTCCCACTCATTCTCTGCTGTCTCTGCCTTGTTAACCCTCTTGTGGTCTCCCTCACCAAGGGATTTCCTTCTGCTTTCTGTGCTCTCACTGCTCTCTCTCACACACACATGCACATAAGCACAGTAAAATTGTGTACCAATATATCTGTATGCGATTGTTTGCAACATAAAATACATCTGTAAATATAACATTGGCCTTGTCATGTGTGCTTTTTTTATCAAGAGGTATGCACATTTTGCACAGCCTGGGTACGCCAAACTACGCAAGCGGTGAAGGTGGAGTTTGCCATTGTAATCGAGTACTGTAGAGCCTGGAGGCTGAGATGTCATCACTAACTAAAACAAAAGATAAGGAAAAATTGTTAGCTCAATAAAGCAAGAATTGTTTCTCAGCACCATGCAACTTCCATTTGCCTCTTTTGCAAATGGCTGTGGAAATGTTTGATGTAGGTCTCTAAGCGCTTATATCGCAATATCTACTAAGCTAACATGTGGAATTGTTTCAGGGTGGTCATAAAATGTATCATATAGCCATTTCATTTTTAATTTTAGGACCTCTGTAGGTATAAAAAAAATATATAAAAATATTATTTGATTATACATTGAATTTGGCCTTTACTGCTAAAGCCCATAGAAAAACATTGAATAATACATTTCTACATGGCAAGACAGACAGCCAAAAAGTTCAGATGACTGCCATAAAGCTTTTTGGATGTCAGAGCAAAACACCCGACACTGGCGTGTTCGTGAGAGTCTCATCTTTCAATGGCGGTGATGTATTGGTTTGTAGCTCAAAATATTCGGAGTTTACAGACGATTTCGTGAGTATTTTCTTGTCTGGATCCTCTCATGTAGAAAAAGACCTCTTTAACAAGCCACATATTATGGAATAGGCGCAGGCTTTATATCAGCGGAAAGAGTAAATTGAGTTGCAGCCACTACAAGAAAATGTAAGTCTAGCATAAACACACGGGGAGCTATTCAATATTCAGAATGTTGTCACTGTGAAACGAGGCAGCGTCAATCGACTTTCAATGATCAGAAGGTAGTTTGTCTCCACCACCATAGCTGCGGGAAGTAGGGGTGCTGCAACACACCCTGAAAAAACTATTTTTTATTTTTATTTTTTAGTGCACTGTGACTTTATTAGTCCTTTATTAGCAGACCTATATAGCCATCTGTAGAGCAAGCAAAAAAATGTAACCCCGATTTTCTGCCTGACTGTGGTGCTCAAACAAATTTGTTAGGATTTTATTGTGATCACAACGAAACTACTTATTTTGCTCAAATAGAGATATAATTAAATTGATTCTTCAAAGGGTTCTCCTGTGGGGACAGCTGAAGAACCCTTTTAGGTTCTAGATAACACCTTTTTTTCTAAGAGTGTGTAGAATTGTAAATAAATTGTTTATTTGAAAAGATGGGCCTGGCATGAAAAATACATAAAAGGGAAAGGATCAACAAACACAGAGGCTGATTCTCTTTCTGCACATCTCTTTATTTGCAATGCTGGCTGCCATGGTTAACACATGCAGGACATTGAATGCTACCTGAACTGACTCAGGAATGTAACAAAAGTAGACTTACACAGCGAGGTCAAACAGGTGTGTGTTTTAGTCAGATTTTCCAGTGCCCACAGCAACACTATTGATTATTCTCTACCCCCAGTGCATGTGGTGTACTATGGTCTTAGCCATGCTCTCACTAACTCCCAACTTTTCTCTGTCTCCCCTTCTGGATGGCCTGAGGCTCTAGGACCACAACTGAGGATTCCCTGGCCTTACACTTGGACGTGCCTGGCCCAATCCCACCTGGCCCCCAACTAACTGCTACCTGCCTTTTGCTGCCTCCACTGGTTTTTTTCTCCCCCTCAAGTAACTGAAACCCTGTCCCTGAACCTGATTTAGCTTTGAGCCTCTTTGCAGATGTCTTCAATACGATTGTGGATCATCATGCTCCCTTCAAAACATTAAGGGTTAAAGGTAGATCGAATGACTGGTCCACTCCGGAACTATCAGAAATCATTCATAAACTAGATGATGCTTGGGTCAAGGCAAGGAACACCGGCTTAGGCCCGGACTGGCAAGCTTTTAAGCAATTGAGGAATCATCGTTTAAAACAAATCAGAAAGGTTAAATCTGTTTATTATGTATCCTCTCTTTCAGATTGTAATGGGAACCCGGATAAATTCTGGAAAACTGTTAAATCCCTGAAGGGTTCTACTTCCTCCTCTCTGCCACAACAAATTAATTCAGAAACTGGCCTCATTACAGAAGAAAATGCCATCATTGTTGCATTTAATCATTTTATTTCAGCGGGCTATCTCTTTGAAATAATTTCTAAGCCTATTCGCAATGACATTGGCTAGATGCTGACAGGGGAAACTTGCTGAATGATCAGAGAAATGATAGTCAAAGCTTTTCTTTTAGGCTATTTACAAAATAAGTCCTGGAGCTTTGCTAGCAATAGACAACAAGAACTCCACAGGGGCCGACCAATCAACTTAGATGGAAAATTACTATAGCGGACAATATTGCCACTCATATTTTCAATTGAAGCCTACTAGAAAGTGTGTGCCCCCAGGCCTGGAGGGAAGCAAAAGCAATTCCGCAACCTAAAAATAGTAAAGCCCCCCTTTACTGGCTCAAGTAGCCAACCAATTAGCCTGTTACCAACCCTTCGTAAACTTTTGGAAAAAATGGTGTTTGACCAGATACAATGCTATTTTACAGTAAACAAATTGACAACATACTTTCAGCATGCTTATAGGGAAGGACATTCAACAAGCACAGCACTTACACAAATGACTGTTTTGGGGGCTGTTTTGTTAAGTCTTTTCAATGCAGCAAACCAAAATAAATCTAACTTTGCAAGATTGAGTTTGTGATTTTGTTGTAGGCTTAGCCAGAGCGCAACGGAGTAGAATTCAATTTGCGGGCGTAGCCCACAAGCGTCTTTCAATCACCTGCAAGTGAATGCGCTTTTCAAATCAGATCAGAGCCGTTCATGTGCATATTTGTTGATATTCTTTGCTAGTTATCGACTTATTAGCCCAGTTATAGATAAGTATATGCAGTGGTGTAAAGTACTTACAGTTGAAGTCGGAAGTTTACATACACTTAGGTTGGAGTAATTAAAACTCATTTTTCAACCACTCCACAAATTCCTTGTTAACAAACTATAGTTTTGGCAAGTCGGTTAGGACATCTACTTTGTGCATGACACAAGTAATTTTTCCAACAATTGTTTACAGACAGATTATTTCACTTATAATTCACTGTATCACAATTCCAGTGGGTCAGAAGTTTACATACACTAAGTTGACAGTGCCTTTAAACAGCTTGGAAAATTCCAGAAAATTATGTCATTGCTTTAGAAGCTTCTGATACGCTAATTGAAATCATTTGAGTCAATTGGAGGTGTACCTGTGGATGTATTTTAAGGCCTACCTTCAAACTCAGTGCCTCTTTGCTTGACATCATGGGAAAATCAAAAGAAATCAGCCAAGACCTCAGAAAATTGTAGACCTCCACAAGTCTGGTTCATCCTTGGGAGCAATTTCCAAACGCCTAAATGTACCACGTTCATCTGTACAAACAATAGTACGCAAATATAAACAACATGGACCACGCAGCCGTCATACCGCTCAGGAAGGAGACGCGTTCTGTCTCCTAGACAGAACTGGGAACTGTGAACTTGGAAATGTGCGAAAAGTGCAAATCAATCCCAGAACAACAGCAAAGGACCTTGTGAAGATGCTGGAGGAAAGAGGTATAAAAGTATCTATATCCACAGTAAAACGAGTCCTATATCGACATAACCTGAAAGGCCGCTCAGCAAGGAAGAAGCCACTGCTCCAAAAACACCATAAAAAAGCCAGAATACGGTTTGCAACTGCACATAGGGACAAAGATCGTACTTTTTGGAGAAATGTCCTCTGGTCTGATGAAAAAAAAATTTGAACTGTTTGGCCATAATGACCATCGTTATGTTTGGAGGAAAAAGGCGGACGCTTGCAAGCCGAAGAACACCATCCCAACCGTGAAGCACGAGGGTGGCAGCATCATGCTGTGGGGGGTGCTTTGCTGCAGGAGGGACTGGTGCACTTCACAAAATAGATGGCATCATGAGGAAGGAACATTATGTGGATATATTGAAGCATTATCTCAAGACATCAGTCAGGAAGTTAAAGCTTGGTCGCAAATAGGTCTTCCAAATGGACAATGACTCCAAGCATACTTCCAAAATTGTGGCAAAATGGCTTAAGGACAACAAAGTCAAGGTATAGGAGTGGCCATCACAAAGCCCTGACCTCAATCCTATAGAAAATGTGTGGGCAGAACTGAAAAAGCGTGTGTGAGCAAGGAGGCCTACAAACCTGACTCAGTTACACCAGGTCTGTCAGGAGGAATGGGCCAAAATTCACCTAACTTATTGTGGGAGGCTTGTGGAAGGCTACCCAAAACGTTTGACCCAAGTTAAACAATTTAAAGGCAATGCTACCAAATACTAATTGAATGTATGTAAACTTCTGACCCACTGGGAATGTGATGAAATAAATAAAAGCTGAAATAAATAATTCTCTATACTATTATTCTGACATTTCACATTCTTAAAATAAAGTGGTCATACTAACTGACCTAAGACAGGGAATTTTTACTAGGATTAAATGTCAGGAAT